AGGCATGGTTAGTTTTTATATTTGTGGCTCCCGCTCATTTCTTCTTGCCTCACTTGGCTTGGGTGGGGGAGAAAGTTCTGGTCTGATCTCACAGGTGCTCGCGGCACCCTGAGGCACACGGGCTGGAGTAGAAGCCCTGGTTCAGGGCTGACCATGAAGTTTGGCTACCCACTGCTGGCCTACTGTGACAGGCTGGCCAGACTGTGTGTGGCTCATGGGCCATGGGGACCATGGTCAGTTATGACGCCCACTCCAGTGGAGTGGTAACGACAGTTACAGTCTGAGGCTGGTGGTCACAGCTTACCCTAGTGCCAACCTTCTCCCTATCCTCTGCTTAGGGGCTTCTGCAACCTCACTCACCAGGGAGGAACGTCTGTTTCCTGGAGGCTTCTATTAGATTCTCTTTGGGTTCACTGGGAATTCCTGGGTGGTGCAATGGGGTAGGTGCTTGGCTGCTAAGCCAAAGGTTGGAAGTTCAAGTCTGCCCAGGGGCAGCTCAAGGAGCTCTGGCCCTGTGGTGGACTACACACTGAGCTGCTGGCCACAAGATGGGCAGTTCAAACCCAATAGCCACTCCAGTTCTCTTTCTGCAAGGATTGAAGTCTCAGAGAGCCAGTGCGATCCAGTCTTGTAAGGCTGACTCGATGGCAGTCAGGTTTGGTTTATTTTAGTTGTAGAGGCAGCTTGGAAGGAAGGTCTGGGGTTTTACTTCCTGGAAAATCAGCCATTAACCACCTCCCCCCCCCCCCCGCCCCCCTCGCGCACCCTTCCCTGTGGAGTAGTTCTACCCTGACACACAGTGTGTATGTGTGTGTGGGGGGGTGGGGGGGTGGGATGGTGGCGCCATCAATGCGTAGCTTGTTCAAGGCAAGACTTCGCTTCATTGCCCAGCATTTGGTAACATGTCAACTACCTAGCCTATCACTAGGAAAAAAAAAAAAAGAGAAAATGGGGTGTTCTGATTGGCGTAGAAAAGCGGTTCTCAAGCTTCCGAATGCCGCAACTCTTCAATATAAGGTGATCAGGCATCCCGCTTTTGGCGGGACAGTCCCGATTTTTAACAATCTTTCCCGCGTCCCACGGCGTTTTAAAAAGTCCTGGTTTTTGGAAAGAATGTACCACAAGCTAGGGTATATGGTTTTCGGCTGCCATGTGGCTATTTTGCCAGGATATGAGTTTTATCAATGGTGTCCCGCTTCACCAATGTTAAAATCTGGTCTCCGTACTTTAGTATAGTTCCTCATGTGGTGGTGACCCCCCACCCTAAAATTTTTTTTCGTTGCCACTTCATAACTATAATTTTGCTACTGTGATGAATCGGGCGACCTCTGTGAAAGGGTCGTTTGAGAACTGCGGGGCTTAGATGGAGATGGAATGGGGGTGGGGTAGTGGTGTGTGTTTTCCACATACTCCTAGGGAGCTACAGAGACTTCCCAAGGATTTTGGATGGGCAGTTTTTGAAATGAGTTTTTCTACGGACCCTCAACGTCCTACTTGTAGTGTTGGTGGAGAACGCTGCAAGTACTATGGACTGCCTGAGAACAAACAAATCTGCTTGGGAGAGACAGACAGTCAGAATGCTTCTTGGAAGCGAGGAAGGCAAGACTTTGTCTCAAGCACTTTGGACACATGGTCAGGGGCCGGCCCTGGAGGACGTCCTACTTGGTGGGTCAGTGAACAACGGGAAAACCCTCAGTGGCTGCAGCAATGGGCTCAAGTATAGCAACGCTGGTGAGGGCGGTGCAGGACCGGGCAGTGTTTCCTTCTGATGGAGGTAGGGTCATTGCTAGGAGTTCGAATCCACTCAGCCCCACCTGACAATCAGGACTTCCTGTGTGCCCATGTCAAAGATTGCCAGAGAAAGTATCTATGTCCACTACGCCCTTTGTTCACTTATCAGAACCCATCCCAGGTCCCGGGTGGGGGCCAAGGCCCTCTGAGCCACCTGTGTGGATTAATCCAGCCGTGCCTCCTTTGGGTAAGGTGACCAGATTTAAAGCGGGACACCATTGACCAGGAGGAGGGGGGAAGTGTTCTTGATTAAAAATTTGGTCTATATGGACCAAATAGACCGTTCCCTAGCTTGTCGTGCATTCTTTCCAAAAATCGGAACTTTTTTAAAACGCCAAAAATCGGGACTGTCCCGTCAAAAGCGGGACGTCTGGTCACCTTACCTTTGGGGACATGCTTTGCCTCAAGCTCTGTTCAAGTGGTCTGACTCTAGGGCAACCAAAGCTCTGAACTTTACTGACACCGATTCTTGTCACCGTAACGGCAGTGTGTTCCAACACTCATACATTTCTCAAGGTGCATGGTGCGGCGCCTCCAAGCGAGTCCTCACGTGACTTCTTTCACATCAGATGTGCGTCCTTACTTAGAAAGGTGGATGGGCAATGTATTCTGCTCAGTCATGCCGGGCATATTCATTGCAGCTCCAGCCAATCGTAATCGTTCATGCTCTGAAAGGTCCCATTATGATTCTTTTTCGTGCGGTTGGGGAGAAGGACAAGGTTTTCTATTCTTGTAAACACGAGTCCCATTCTCTGAAACCCACAGGGGTAGTCCTACCTTGGAGGTAGGGTCGATGCATGAGTCGGAATCAATTCGATGGCAGTGATTTACATCCGGTTCATTGGACACAGGGTTTTGACACATCAGAACGGGGATCCATTCCTCAATGTCGAGCCCAATCCTCCCGCAGACTCCAAGCTGGCACTCGCGCTGGGTAGGCAGCCGTCACGACTGCCAGGGGCTCTTCTTCCTCTATCTTCCCCGAAGATAAACTGGTTAGGGTTTACCAGCTGCATCTCAGCAGTCTGAGGGCCGAGAAATCCCATGCTTTGACAAGAGAGGGTGAAGGTGAGATTCTGATCGTCCCAAGCACACATGGCCTCACCTCGGCCCAAGCTCTGTTTCAACATCAACTGGGGTAGCACGCCTCTTTCAAACCACCAGTTTTGATCTTTTTGTTGTTATTGTTGCTTTTCCTATAAACTCTGCTATTTCCTAATAGCCGTGCCTTTCGCTTGAAATGCCTTTCAAGGTATTCTGGGAGAAGGAAATTGGCTGACAAAACATACCATACTAGCTAGGGAGACAGGGAGGGGGAATGAGTGAGTCAAGGATTGTGCCCCTGTGGAAAGAGCGTCTCGGTGTCAATGAAATGGACATCACGATGAATCTGGGTCAGGGGTCAAGGAAATTCACTTGGAGAAAAAGTGGCCCCACAATGGGTAGGCCAGGTGAGGATGCTGGCCTGGATGCTGTGTCTCTATTCAAGAAAAACCTGTTTTAAGGTACAATCTGTGTATTTGTAGTTACTGAGAGATGGAAGCTGTTCAAGGTGAAGTGGAGAGGTGAGAGGCTACTTTATAGTACTCTATCTCTGGACAAACAGACCAAAAAACCCCAAGCCAGTTGGGGGGGAAGCTGTGGCAATAATTTACACTAATGGATATGGAAATAAGTGGCCCTGGTGGGACTGTGGATTGCACTGTGGGTTACCCGTTAGTGGGGGTGGGTGGGATGAGGCAGTCTATTCCCTAGAGACCAGTTCCCCGCTAGCTATTCTACAGGGTTGTGATCAGTCAGCATTGCCTCGATGGCAGTGCCTGGATGTGGACCCAGAGGCTGGGAATAAAGAAACCATCAAAGTACATCCCAATCCCATGCCTTCTCTCCGTTTTCACAAATGCCACTCTGGTCCAGCCTCTGTCACCTCCTGCAACATCCTCCCAACTACTCTTGTATATTGCCCTAAGTAGTCTCGAGGCCTGGCTGCAGTCGTTGGCCAGTGGACACTTAACTCCGCAGGGATTATAGTCCACGGGTGCTGCCTGTGCTTCAACACTTCTACTCCTTTCACCAGGGGTAAAAGCCAAGGGATCGTTGGCTTGCTTAACCCTCTCTTGCCACAGGGCCTTCGCACTGGCTGATCGCTCTGCCTGGAGCTCTTCCCAGAGCCTGACACCCGTCACTTCACCCACCACTCAGTCAATATACAAATGACATTCTGTGGGGGACCCACTCTCCCTCCTGAGGAAGACACCATGGGAGACATGGCTCCGGGAGGTGGGCTGACACAGTGGACAATGGACTTTAACGCAGGCAGTTTCTCAGGATGGTAAAGGAGTGGGCAGGGTTTCCTTCAGGTGCACAAGCTCGCTAGGAGTCAAAATCGACTGGTAAACGTCGATACTAACCATTGTGAGAACTACTACGATTACGAGGCGGCTTCAAAAACTTTGTAAGAAGAGTCCATGACCTTTGAATTCCATTTTCCCACGAAGCTTCTGAAGTCTCCTCCTATTATCCATAACGTAATGTGAACTATGGCGCGCAGAATACCTAATTTACCATATTAAATACGCCATGTGATAGACAAACATGACTGAACCTGGCGGATTCTGATAGCCACTGGTAGAGTAGGTACATTAGGGACTGTATTAGAATTATGCGTGATCCCACTGAAAATCCCACTGGATTTTCCCGTGGAAGGGTACCCTGGAGTCGCCCACGTGGAGCCACTTTTTGACCTACCTACCGGAGGGGGCAGGGCTTTTGCAGGTCCACTGCGGCTCCCCTCCGAGCCGAGCCGCACACACGGCCAGGTAACCGGAGGATGAGACACCACCTGCCGGAAGCCGGCTGTCCCGCGGTGTTTTGGCCCCTCGGCGCCCCCGTGGCTCAGCGCGCAGCCAGCGCGCCTGCGCACAAGGCCGCACTCCTTTGCTCGGCGGGCGCGCGGCGGAGGGTTACATCTCGAGGGGAGGGGAGGTTC